TACTTTGAAACCATTTAAGTACCCTATTGCTCACCAAACTTTGCATTTATTTATACCTCTATGGACTCATGGTTTCTTATTTTATTCAATGGCTTACAATCCATTCGTGTCATTATTTATTCTGATGTCCATACAGTCGCAGATGTGGTCTGTGTAAGCCCTTTGGTATTGTGTCCTTCTGACGTGCCCTCATCATTCACTGAGCACCTTCTTTGTATCTGGCAGAACAAGACGCATCAACTCATCCATACGGTATTGCCCCAGCCCTGCATTCTGCCGTTTCTCCAAGGAACACTGATTGCTTTTAGTGGAGAATGGTATTCAGAAGTCTCGTTCTGAACGTTACGTGTGCCCACTGCTACTAGAGTATCACTATTCCAGGCCCTTTTACTACAGAAAATTTGTACATCAGTCTAAATGTAGAAAAAAATTTTTTAAGATTTATTTATTTTAAAGAGAGAGACAGTGTGCACGTGCCTGAGTGAGCATGAGCGCGGGGAGGGGCAGAGGGAGAGAAAGAATCCCAAGCAGACTCCCCGCAGAGCACAGAGCCCTACGAGGGGCTCAATCTCATTACCCTGAGATCATGACCGGAGCTGAAATCAAGAGTTGGCCGTTTAACTGGCTGAGTCACCCAGGTGCCCCCAAATCCATCAATCCATCAATCTATCAGTCTATCTATCTATCTATGAAAACTGAGTTCGTGCACACATAAATAACTAATTCCAATCCAACATTATAGAGTTCATTCTAGTTCTGTCTCTTTCCACATTTCTAACTCACTCCTGTGACCAGTCTCCCATCTCTGCAGATAGCCCATCCTCACCCCACGTGGGCTCTGCATCCACACTCCAGGGTACCCTGCATGTGCACACTCCTCTGCCTGGAGCAGAGAGTTTTTGAGAATCAACTTCTACTCTTATTTAGCTGCATGTAAAAATGCTCCTTTCCTTATATCCATGTCAACACTGCCACCAGACACTTGAAATTTTGTAATTCTGATGGGTATAAAGTGGTATCTAATCATTGCTCTCATTCTGTCACACAGAGGTTTTTAAGTTATGGTTTTAACACTGTAAAATTCATCAGTCCTTTCTTTTATTGCTTGCACTTTTTCAGCGTTTTCTGAGAAATCCATTTCTATCCTATATCCTTCTATCCCAAAAGTTCCAAAAAGATTTTGAGGTTTTGCTTTTCGCATTTGGGAAATTAGATCTTTGCTTGCTAGGAGATACAAATCAACTATTGCCAGCATGATAGCTGTCCAAGCCCCTGGACTGACTTGTCTATTATTTCCCTGATAATTTGTACAGGCAAATTCCACTTCACTGTGCTTTGCTGTATTGCACTTCACAGACACTGTGTTTTTTACAAACTGAAGGTTTTTGTGGCAACCCCGTGTCAAACAGGCTCTTGGTGCCATTTTTCCAAGAGCATTTGCTCACTTCTTGTCTCCGTGTCACATGCTGGTAATTCTTGCAATATTTCAACTTTTTCACTATTACTGTATTTGTTATGTGATCTGTGATCAGTGACCATGACTCGCTGAAAGCTCAGATGATGGCACTTTTTAGAGATAAAGTATTTTCAAATTAAGATATGTACATTGTTTTTTCTTTTTTTATTATTGTAGTATAGTTGGCATATAATGTTATATTAGTTTCAGGTGTACAACATAGTGATTCAACAATTCGATACATTACTCAACACTCACCACCATAAATGTAGTCACCATACATTATGACATAATTACTGACTATATTCCCTATGCCGTACTTTTTCCTCTCCATGAGTTATTTATAAGTGGAAGTTTTATTTTTTATTATTTTTTTAAAATTTAAATTCAATTAGCCAACACACAGTACATCATTAATTTTTGATGTAGTGTTCAATTAGTGGCATATAACTGGAAGTTTGTATTTCTTGATCCCCTCTGGTGACCACCAGTTTGTTCTCTGTATTTATTAGTCCATATCTGTTTTTTTGTTTGTTCGTTTTGTTTTTTTGGATTCCATATATAAGTGAAGTCATATGGTATTTATCCTTCTCTGTCTTATTTCATTTGACATGAAACTCTCTAGGTCTAACCATGTGGCTGTAAGTGACAAGATCACATATTCACATCTTCTTTATCCATTCATTTATTGATGGATACTTGTGTTGCTTCCATATTTTGGCTGTCATAAACAACGCTGCAATAAACATAGGAGTGCATATACCTTTTCAAATCAGTGTTTTCATTCTCTTTGGGTGAATACCCAGCAGTGGTATTACTGGATCATATGGTATTTCTATTTTTAAATTTTGGAGAAAACTCCATATTGTTGTCCGCAGTGGCTGCACCAGTGTGCATTCCCACCAACAGTGGATCAGGGTTCACTTCTCTCCACATCCTTGTCCACACTTATTTCTTGTATTTTTGGTAAGAGCCATTCTGACAGGTGTGAGGTGGTATCTCCTTGTGTTTTTGACTTGCATTTCCCTGACAATGCGTGATGATGCTGAGCATCTTTTCATGTGTCTGTTGGCCATCTGTATGCCTTCTTTGGAAAAAAAAATGTCTATTCCGGTCCTCTGCCCATTTTAAAATCAGATTATTTGGCTTTTTGGTGTTGAGTTGCATGAGTTGTTTATATATTTTGGATATTAACCCTTACTGGATATAGCATTTGCAAAAATCTTCTCCCATTCAGGAGGCTGCCTTTTCATTTTGTTGATAGTTACCTCTGTTGTGCAAGTTTTCTAAAATTTTGGTGTGGTCCCAATAGTTTATGCTTGCTTTGTTTCTCTTCCCTGAGGAGACATGTCCATAAATATGTTGCAAAGGGTGATGTCCAAGAGATTACTGCCTACATTTTCTTTTAGGATTTTTATGGTTTCAGGTCTCCCATTTAGGTCTTTAATCCATCTTGAATTTATTTTTGTGTATGGTGTAAGAAAGTCGTCCTCATTCTTTTGCATGCAGCTGTCCTGTTTTCCCAACCCCATCTGTACCTTCCTTTTCTTACTGAGTGGTCTTGGCACCCTTGTTGAAAATCAGCTGATCATATAAGTGAGGGTTAATTTCTGGGCATTCCATTGGTGTATATGACTGTCTCATGTCAGAACCACACTTAGCTTCCTAAGTGTGAGACCCCCAACTCTGTTCTTCTTTTCAATACTGTTTGGGCTATTTGGATCCCTTGAGAGTCTATATGCATTTTGGGATTAATTTTCCTATTTCTGCAAAAAAACGTCTCTGAGATTTTGATAAGAATTGCACTGACTCTGTGGATCATTTTGGGTAATATGGACATCTTAACAATATTAATTCTTCTAATACATGAATATGGGATGTTATTCCCTTTATTAGTGTCCTCTGGATTTCCTTCACCAATGTCTTGTAGTTTACAGTGAACAAGTTGTTTGCCTCCATGGTTAAGTTTATTCCTAAGCATTTTTTTTTTCTTTTCCATGCTATTACAAATGGAGCTTTTCTTTCTTCAGATATGATCATGTCATCTGTGAATAAATATCCATATATCCTCTTCCCACGTAAATTTTAGAATAATATTGTTTATATCTATAACAAAGCCTTACAGTACTAGTATTTTGAGAGAAGCCGCATTAAACCTGTATTTAATCTAGAGAGAATTGGCATCTTTCCTATGCTGAGTCTTCCAATTCATGAACTCAGTATGCCTCGCCACTTATTCAGATATTCTTGGACTCTTCTCAACAGCATTTTGTGGTTTTGAGAACACAAGTCTTGGATGTGTTTTGTGAGATTTATAGCTAAGTATTTTTTTTTTTTTAGCAATTGTAGATGGTACTATACTTTTAGCTTCAATTTACATGTATTTGTTGCTAGTATTGTTGAAGTACAATTGATTTTTGTATGCTGATCCTGTAACTTGAGAACTTGCTAAGCTCATTAATTTCTAGGACGTTTGTGTGTGTGTGTGTGTGTGTGTGTGCGCGCGCGCGTGCAGATTCCTTGGAATATTCTATGATCGTGTCATCTGAAAATAGCTTCCTTCCTAATCTGTATGACTTTTCTTTCCTTTTCTTGCCCTACTGCCCTGGCCAGAACTTCTACTGCTATCTGATAAGAATGGACATCTCTTGTACTCATATTAAGGGAAAACAATTCAATCTTTCACCATTAATTATGATGGTAGTTAGCTGTAGGACTTTTGTAGATGCTCTTTATCAATTTGAGGAAGTGTCTCCCTTCCTAGGTTGCGGAGAGTTTTTATCACAAATGGATGTTAAATTCTGTCAAATGCTTCTTCTGCATTAATGTATTATCTCATGAGCTTTCTGTTAGCCTGTTAATATGATAGATAACATTGATTGATTTTCAAATATTGGATCATGTTTACTTTCTTGAAATAAACACAACACTCATAATGTATATGCTTTGTATATACTGTGGAATTCTATTTGCTAATATGCTCTTAGACTTTCGTATCCACATTAATCCAGAATGTTGGTCAGTAGTATTTTCATGTGTGTACTGTGCTTGTCTGATTTTGCCATCATAGTAATACTGGCTTTATAGAATGTGTTGGGACGTATTCTCTTTTATTTTGTAAAAAAAAATTATAGAGAATTATTGATAATTATTTTTTAAACATTTGCTATAAGTTTTCAATAAAGCTATTCTGGAGATTTCTTTCTGGGAGTTTTTAAATTATAAATTTGATTTCTTTAATAGTTATCAGGCTATTCAAATTACTTATCTCATATTGGCTGAGTTGTGGTAGTTTGTCCTTTTGGAGAAATTGGGCCATTTCATTTAAGAGATTTCATTATGGATACATAATTTACTACTATGTCGTGTCAACAACATTTTATCTGATCAAATCAAGTGTGTCAACTTCACCTCCCTTCACATCATTTTACTCTTCCCCATTTGTAATATAATTGTGTTACATATTTCTCTCTATGCACAGAGGGATATTAGACAGTGTTATAATATTTGCTTCAACCATCTAACATAATTTAGAAAATTTATCAAGACTATACTTTCAGGGATCATTTCTATAGTTTCATTTCTATAGTTTGTTACTAGAGAGTTTCTCTGAATGTGTGGAGTACTCGAAACCACAAGGAGGAGACAGTGTCCCTTCCTGAGTGTGAAGCTTCTCCAGCTGCCCTTTGCCATTGATGATCGTTTTTCTCCTCCTTTGGGGGAGTAAGAGGGAGGGACACCGGTTGAATGGTTTCTAAAAAAATACACACACACACACACTATCCTATGTACCCATATTTTCACTCTTCCCATTTGATTCCTTCACTTCCTTTCTTGTAGAGAACTTACTGTAGCTATCCTAAGTATACTGCAGACAAGTTCTCTTAGAGATTTTGTGACTGTTTTGATTTACAAATCACTTAAAAAAATTAGTGGGCTTTAGGGGCACCTGGCTGGCTCAGTCAGTAGAGCATGCAACTCTTGATCTCAGGGTTGTAGGTTTGAGCTGCACACTGGGTGTAGAGATTATTTAAAAATAAAATCTTTTTTTTAAGATTTTATTTATTTTTTTGACAGAGAGAGAGAGATAGCGAGAGAGAGAGCATAGGCAGGGGGAGGGGCAGAGGGAGAGAGAGAGAGAAGCAGGCTCCCTGCTGAGCAAGGAGCCCAGTGTGGCCAGGACCCTGGGATCATGACCTGAGCCAAAGGCAGATGCTTAACTGACTGAGCCACCCAGGTGCCTCTTAAAAATAAAATCTTTAGAAAAAATTAATGGACTTTATTTGGGGGTAGTTTTACATTCACAGAAAAATTTAGTGGCAAATACAAAGTTCTTACTTACCTGTCTCACCACCACCCACCCCACCCCCGCCCCTGTCCCAGTTTCTTCCATTATTAACAACTTCCATGATTAACAATTTATGTACCAACACCAAAAGTGTGGTACATTTTGTTACAGTTATGAGCCATTATTATTAACTAAAGCCTATCGTTCAGGTTCACATTTTGGATTATACATTTTACAGATGTACAACGGGATAAATGACAAATGGACAATGACATGTATCTATCACGACAGTATCATATAAGTGCACTTTCACTGTCTTGACAATTCCTGTGCTCCACCGATTCTTCCCTTCCTCCCTCCGCCTGAAATCCTGGAAACCACCGATCTTTCTACTATCCTCATAGCTTTGCTTTTTCCACTGTCAGATAGTTGGAATCATACAGCTTTTTTCAGATTGGCTTCTTTCATTTAGCAGTGTGCATTTAATATGTTGTTCCTCTCTGGCTGTTTTCATTATTATTTTTTTAATTCAATTTTTTGCCTTTAGTTTCCAGAAGTTTTACTACATTGTGTCTTCCATGTATTTCTTTGGGTTTATCCTATTTGGAATTCCATCAGCTTCTTGAATCTACTATGTCTTTAGGCAAACTCAGGAAATTTTCAGACATTATTTCTCTGAGTACTTTCTCAGCCTCATTCTTTATATTCTCCTTCTGGGATTCTGATGTTAGATCTTTGGTAATAGTCCTATTTTTCCTGTCTGTTTTCTCTCTGATGTTCATATAGGATAACTGATATTGTTCTATCAAGTTGACAAATTCTTCCCTCTGTCCTCTTCATTTTTTTATTGGGCCATCCATTGATATTTTAATAATGATTATTGTATTTTTTTAATTTCTCAAATTCCACTCGTTCTTCTTTATATCTTCCATTTCTTTTATATTATATATATATTTTTTAAATACTTAAAAATATCTTTATATATATATTTTTAATATATTTTACAAGTTTTTAAAAAATGCTTCAGTTATTCTAGTTTCTTTGAGTCCACATAAAAATTAGAATCTACTCGTCCGTATCTACAAACACTCTTTCTGGGATTTTGATTGGTATTGCATTAAATGAAAAGATTAATGAGAATTAATATACTAACTACATGGCATCTTCCAATTCATGAACACGATCTGTCATTCCATGTATTTAGGGCTTCTTTAATTTCTTTCATCAGTGCTTGGTAGTTGTCAGTCAACAGACCCTGTGCATGTTTTGTTAGGCTTATTTACATATATATGTAAATATATATTTACTTATTTAGTTATATATATATATTTAAATTTTAGAGGTACTGTAAATGGTATTTAAATAGTACTTAAAAAGCACTTTCCTATAGATTCAGTGCAATCCCAGTCAAAATTCTGGCAAGTTATTTTGGGGATATTGACAAATTGATTTTATAGTTTATACAGAGAGACAAAAGACCAAGAATAACCAACATAATATTGAAGGGGAAGAACAAAGTTGGGGGACGGATGCTACCCAATGTCAATATTTACTATAAAAGCTACAGTAATCAAGACAGTGTGGTATTGGTAAAAGAATAGACAAATAGATCAATGAGACAGAAAAGAAAGCCCAGAAATAGACCCACATAAATATAATCAACTGATCCTTGACAAAAGAGCAAAAGCAAAACAATGGAGCAGAGACAGTCTTTCAACAAACGGTGCTGGAACAACAGGACATCCACATGCAAAAGAATGAATCTAAAAAAAAAAAAAAAAAAAAAGAATGAATCTAGACACAAACCTTACACTCTTCACAAAAGTTAACTCAAAATGGATCACAGATCTAAATGTAAAATGCAAAACTATAAAACTCACTGAAGATATCATAGGAGAAAATCTGGATGACCTTGAGTTTGGCAATGACTTTTTAGATACAATATCAAAAGATAAGCTGGACTCCATTAAAATTAAAAACTCCTGTGTAAAAGACAATGTCAAGAGAAGGCAAAGATAAGCGACAGATTGGGAGAAAATATTTGCAAACGACAAATTTAAACTATTATCCAAAATATACAAAGAACTCTTAAAACTCAACAATAAAAAAACAACTCAATTAAAAATGAGCCAAAGACCTAAATAGGTATTTCAACAAAGAAGATAGGTGGATTACAAATATGCATATGAGAATATGCTTCCAATCATACGTCATCAGAGAAGTACATATTAAAACAACAAGATACCACTACACACGTATCAGAATGGCCAAAATCTGGAACGCTGACAACACCAAATGCCAGTGCAGCAATAGCAACTCTCATCATTGCTGCTGAGTGGTACAGCCACTTTGGAAGACAGTCTGGCAGTTTCTTACAAATCTAAACATAGTCTTACCATGTACTACCCTGCACCTATATTCCTTGATATTTACTTAAAAAAAAAACCGAAAACTGATCTCCATATCGAATTATATACATGGGTGTTTATAGCAGCTTTATTCATAAATTCCACAACTTGGAAGCAACCAAGATGTCCTTCAGCAGGTGAATGGATAAATGGTACATCCAGACAAGGGAACATTATTCACTACTAAAAAGAAATGAATTATTAAGCCATGAAAAGACATGAGGAGATCTTAAATTATTAATAAGTAAAAGAGCTAATCTGAAAAGGCTTCATATTGTACGATTCCAACCATATGACATTTGAAAAAGGCAAAACCATGGGTATAGTGAAAAGATCAGTGGTTGCCATAGTTTGAGGGAGAAGGGATGAATAGGTGAAGCACAGAGGATTTTCAAGGCTGTGAAAATACTCTGTACGATACCATAATGGTGGATACATGCCTATACATTTGTCCAAAACCACAGAATGTACAACACCAAGAGTGAACCCTAATGCAAACTATGGACTTTGAGTGATTATGATGTGTCAGTATTTCATTGATTCTAATTCTGGTGGGGGTTGTTGATAACTGGGGGAGGCTATGCATGTGTGGGGGCAGGGAATACTTAGGAAATTTCTATACTTTCCCCTCGATTTCTGTGAACCTTAAACGGTTCTGAAAAATTGTCTTAGTAAAAAAAAAAAAAAAAAAAACAGTTTCCAATTATTTATTGGTGTTACAGAGAAATACACTTTGTGTCATAGGATCTTACCAAACTTAGTAGCTCAAGATTTTTTTCCTTTGACATTCCCTGGAATTTCCTGTGCATACAATCATGTCCTCTGCAAATAGGACAGTTTGCTTTCTTCCTAACGTGTATACCTATCTTTTCTAATTCTGCCTGGCACACTGGCTAGGGTTTTCAGCTTGATGTTGAATAAGTGTGGGGGTAGTGGTCATTCTTGCCTTGTTTTCATTCTTCAGTGAAAGCATTTGATTTTTCATCCTGAGTGGTAATGCCTGCCTTTGTTATTTTGTAGCTTTTTCATCCTGAGTGGTAATGCTTGCCTTTGTTTTTTTGTAGAGGCCTTTTATCAGACTAAGGAAGTGCTTCCTACTCCTAGTCTGTTGAGAGTTTTATCATGAATAGCTGTTGAATTTGTCAAATGCTTTTGTATCAACTGGTATGATGTGGCATCTCTTCTTTAGACTGAAGATAGTCTCTTTTTAAACAAAAGAAAGCTAAAGCAAGGGTAATTCATCAATACATGTATCTAAGATTTTTAAGAGGGAATCTTTATCACATTTGTTTTTATAAATTCATATGAAAAAGTCTATTTAATGGGATATATAGTAAAAGGAGTGAAACACCATCAACTTTTTAAAGTATTTTTGTAAATTTGGCAAATGTCCTGGGTCTCCTGCATTTACTACCAAACTTGTATGTTTTCTCCATGGTATCTGCCATCCTGAAAGGAGGGACATTCATCAAATCTGTATACTTAACATCTTCTGCTCAACCACTTAACATCTTCCTTACAACTGGGCTGTACTTCCCAGTAACACCCACAAGCATCCAATTCTTCCCATTTCAAGAATTATTTTCTATGAGTTCCCAGGAAAGAAATGTTTTATATCATATAAACAGCAAAATTTAATTAGTTGTTGAAGTCTAACTACATAAAGGTGATCTAGATTACCTAAGAATATTTTTAGATAGTTAGTACTCACAAAATCTTGCTGAACACTCTGTAATTGATTTTAATATATTTCTATATGTGTACAGCCATAAACCCCCATTTACACTTATAAAACAGGTATTTCAAAGAGTCTTTTGAGGATTCTGATCATATATCTACTTATTAAAAGTCCCTTTCAAATATACTTATGATTAGCATTCTTTTAATGTAGTATACATGCTATGCTATAATATTTTAAAATAGCCAACCTGCAATAAATTGTATAAAATATACATATATTTTGTTTGTAAAAAGTGAAGCATATATCTAAATTACTTAAAATATCTTTTCACCACTGTAAGAATTTTAATTTTACTATGTTTTTGTCTATTAACAA